CTCTCTCTCTCTCTCTCTCTCTCTCTCTCTCACTCTCTACCTCTCTCGGCCTCTCTCTCTCTCTTACAGGTATACATTCCGGAAAAGTTAAAACTTTCTTTTCTCTTGAACCCAGCTTGTGAGATCATGTATGACTCAGATTTTAGGAATTTTCGAAGATGCATCTTCATTCGAGAAGACCTGCATGAAAAAAAAATATGCTTGGTATGTCCTGTATAAAAGATTTCATTTATCTTGACGTTAATGGTATGCATAAATGCTTTATATAATACAAATGTTAATTTCTTAATATTAATATACTGTCAAAATTAAATATGTATCGAGGCGTATTTTACGTTAAAGTAGATTATTCTGTTATAGGTAAAATTATTAACAGCACAATGCTGCTTGTTCCAAGTATTCTTCGAATATCATAATCACGAGGTACGACCTTGTAGCGCGAAAGGATACGTATGGGAGAATGCATTTTTGCATGCAAGCATACAGTGTATGCATGTCAAATGCAGGCAAACTATTCCTGCATAATAATTACATTTGTAGGCCTTGGGTCTTGCGATAATATAAAATATTGTTTACATCTATTTTATTGGTATTCTAAGTGGTACCAAATTTTGAAATATCCTTAAATATAATAATAATAATTACAATGAGTTCAATTACGTTCAATAACAACGGACGGTAATCAGAAGCATAATATAACAATAATTAAATTAATTACAATATCTATACAATTGATTGGGCAATTGTATACAATAACAGTATGGGACAGTCAATGGAATTCGTATTAGGGTTCTTCCCCAGGAATCCCAGTGAGTATAAAGTACGTATACGATGACATCAACAGCTTTTAACGCTGCACTTCCTCTAACAAAGTGCACGTGAACGTGCCACGACTTCCGGTAGAAACTCAACAATTAAACGACTGTCTCGAGACATCTAAAGGATCGTTTATCGACATCGCACTTTCTCGGAAACTAAATATCTTTTCAAGTCCCTGAGACATCGAGAACAGTACCACTATCTTCAATTTATATAACTAAAATATTTAGTGTTTTTTACCTAAATTCTAAAAACTAATGATGAATCATCTGCCACGAACAATGACAGGCAAAGTTACATCGCAAGGACTTAGACGTCCATGACTAAAGTTTGGCCCTGGTCAAGAGTCCTATTTTACACAATCTTCGAAAAGAACAGAAAATAATGCATCTATAATAACCTTACAAGGATTCATCAACTCCAATAAGGAACAAACAATGGATTGTATGCCAAGAATGTCAGAGCCATTAAATATGGATATCTATTTAAAAAAAAAGCAATCAATCCACTTTTCTCTTATACCGAACCACTTTAATTTGCCTCAAACTATTAACAGCTTAGGTACCCGATTCATTCACCCCAAATAAATACAGCACTGAAAATACTATACTATTCATTTTCATTCACTGTCATGTTCCAATTTATGGGCTTGTATATGCATATTGTACGAATGTGAAAGATTCTGTACGCTACTATATCTATATCTAGTACGCTATCAACAGAAACGATTGTATACGGTTCACAAACGCCATTACATATACTAGTCGTAAAGTTGTCGGACTAAAATTCATACAACTAAACCACTGCATGGTATAGTAAGTTTGCCAGAACTCCAGTATGAACAATCGTAGTCATTTGTATTATAATTTTCTGTACTCCTTTACGACAGTAGGACGAATGAGTCCCAGGATTTCATTTCAATTGAAAATACCCTTTACAGAACCTCCCAGAAATTCACCGATCACCCTGAACTATGTGGAATAAATAAATGTAACGTACACAAGTCGATAGAACACAGCACAGCAAGATGTCACCAAGTATCCAGTATGGACAGTAAGCAGTGCGACTAGTATTACGAGTGTACATGTAAACGAACTCTGTAATCCTTTCACCGAAGCGGCAGGTGCAATGCTTGTGGAAATGTTAGTAGCTACATGGAGAGGCACATCGGGCTTTGTAATATTCAGAGGATGGTAGCGAGTGGACTTATGGTTGTTGTGCACAACTATACATCTTTACAGAATGGATACCTATACTGCATGTACCATAGATCTATTGTTGCACAAGAAGAATGCGGCGGCCATTTTTATTTCAATTCTACAGCCAACAGGGAACGTAGTATATCGACGTATATCGTAGTATATAGTATATCGACGATACAATTTGAAATTTTAATAAAAAATTTCATTATTCAGTCCTGTTATTAAAGTCGGTTATGCAGACTATAATATTCTCAATGCCAACGAATCCGACATTTAAAAAGGAGCAGGCAACTTTAAATAGCCGCCATTGGAATATCTCTCACTAAGAAAACAGGCGGGCATCGTTGTGCGCTACCAGTTATCCTTGAGTTCGATCCCCCTGAATTCTAATATCTACGTGTGAGTAGGTATGTATATATATATATATATATATATATATATATATATATATATAAA